TAAGCATTCGTTTTGCGACAGCGACCTCCAGTCATTAAACGTACCCGTAAAGGTATCTCGAGAAGGAAGCAATTGATCCTCAAGTTTAGCATTTCCTGATTCTTGAGATTGTTTTGAATGCAAGTATGCTATTATTTCAGGATAAAACAAAGCCAATGGGGCCACCATTACTTCGTCAAATACCTTAAATTCGTATTGTTCTAATGGTTGACCTGGTATCCTTTTGATGTAGTTATAAAGTTGCACCGTAACATTTGCATCTTGAAATGTAATGCACTTTTCCTTTAACTCCTGAGCACATAACCAACCATGCGAAGAATTCAGATCCCAGTTCTTATAGGGAAACTTACTTTGCATTAATAGAAGGGCGAAAAGTCTCGTTATATCATCCCCTCCATAATTCAAAGATATTAGACTATTTTCTAAAACGGAACCTTCATCTATGCAAGCAACCGTTGTATGTGTTGCGCCTATATTCACAACGCATGTTGAAGAGCTTTGTCCTGCTCCATAGCAGGTAGCAAGAGATTCTTGTATGATAGCCACGGCTTGGAATTGCATCTCAGTTAAGAGGGTCCTAAGGAACATTTCAACATGTGCCTTTTCAAATAGGTCTGGAACCACCAGCACAACTTTGTATTGTGAGTATTGTGCTCGATCAAGGGAAAGACCATCGGACGACAATGCATAGTCGAGTAGATTTATGACATCCTGCATTAAGTCTTGAAGAGAAGCATAATGAGGTGATGATAAATTGAATGAACCGCCTTTGGTGAAAGGGTATCTCAATGTAAAACTCTCTTTAGAGCATCTTGTGGCTTCAAACCCATAATACTTTCTATCGGCCCGATTAATCCATTCCTTAGGGTCAGGATCATTTTTATCTTCTATAAACTGAGGTTTGGACGCTCTGTTGAAGGTTAAGACTTGCTCACGGGCATTATAAGGAACTTTTCTCTTATAGTATCGCATTCTTTCTTTGAAGCTCTGTTGTATTGTTGACTTCATCTCTTCAAACTCGGCTGGTTGATCAGCTGTTATCGGTGTTTCAAACTTATTGAAGATCGACTGTGATTTTGGGATTGCAACACAACTAGGAACAACAAGTGGAACCTCATCTTTAGCTAAGCCAACTTTTATGGTTCTAGAACCAGCGTGTATTACAAGGGTCTTATTGGCGTCGCTAAGATCGATATCTTCTTCAGCAGCAACAGTCATGTCAGTAGGTTCTGCCGTACCATTCTTCAGATCTGCAATATCTGGGGTATTGCCTAATGAGACTTGAGTATTATTTCGCAGTGTTTTTCTTTCTCGTAAAGCAAACATCTGCTCATCCTTTTTTAAGTAATCTGACGAATAATTTTTCTGATTGATAAGTAAGACTGGTTGAAATAAACCAGTAGGGCGTAAATTTATGTTTTCAACTTTTTCAATACCGGTTTGTTTCAGTTTTTTCGCAAACTCTTCAGCTGCTTTAATTCTACCCAGTCTCCTTTTCTCTAGCAGATGCAATGGAACTTTTTTCGGTGCCTTTCCATGGTCAGATCTTGCATGCTTTCTCCCTCTTTCATTACTCTTTACCTCTTCATCTTCGTAATCTTCATCTTGATCATCATCTACTGTGTTTCTATGACTTAACGGTGTAGTGGTAGCACTTCTGGATATTTCAGGTACTTGCAAATTGCCTTCATTCTCCTCATAATCTTCATCATCCTTTACACTGTCCTGTTCTTGATTATGTTCTTCAACACTGTCATCATCGTCATCATCCTCATCGTCATCCACCAATGGTATTTCAATCGCTTCTTCATACACTACCATGACGTCAAAATTTGCTGCACAAGTTGCAAAGAGACAAGCTTGCCACTCTGATGATCCTTCAACTTAACGTAGTTGGTAGACCAGATCAACCAAGTGAAGTCTAGTTCAGCGACGTTCAAAATGATATTCTCTGAGAGCCACCTTGAAGCCGGGTAACGGGAAAAGACCTTCGGCGGCTAATTGACGGATAATTTGGCGGCTAATTTGGCGGGTAATTTTGAGCACCGGAAAGCCATCCCAGGATTGAATTACCATTCTAACCGGACCACCTTTACATATGCGCGCTTCAACGCGCTGTTCCACGAACAGTAAATTCCAACCGCGAATCCATCCGCTGGCTGCGCTTCAACGCGTTGTTCTGTACCACGAACAACGCAAATTCACCCGCTGACTACTATCCGACCGTCAAAACCGCAGTGGCAATGCCCTAACGATCGTTTCACATCAGACCAACTCCCATTCGCCCTGAAAAGCAGCATCTCTACAGAACCAGTACCCCAATTCTCTCCATAAAGAACCCCCAACGGACTACCAAGACTTAAAGTGGTATGAAATATCTTAAGAGAAAGAAAGTTCCTTTCTGTTTAAATAGCCGCCAACACGTTAAGGACGGGTAACACCAAGATCGGCCGAGCTCCTTCAATCCGTCGTTTTAATGGGGTAACTGGAGAAGTATATAAAGAGCATGGAATTGAGAAACTCGAGGACGATTAAAGAATAGATTCGCTATAAAGAAAGCGATTGGAATTGATATTCGTTCGATTTAGCATGCTGAGATCTAGTTTTAGTAGGACACCTGCGTTACGTCGTTTATTTTCTCGTGAAGCGACTCCCAATGATAAAACAATTAAGAATTTGAGTTTACCCGAGAATACTAAAGTGATTATTCAAGGATTTACCGGGAAACAGGCCACTTTCCATGCCAAGATATCTCAGGAATACGGTACCAAGATTGTTGGTGGTACTAATCCCAAGAAAGCCGGACAAATGCATTTAGGCCAACCAGTTTTCGCTAGTGTGAAAGATGCAATGAAAGAGACTGGAGCTACTGCTTCTGGGATTTTTGTTCCACCACCAATTGCAGCAGCAGCTATTAAGGAAGCCATTGAAGCGGAAATTCCGTTGGCAGTTTGTATCACTGAGGGTATTCCACAACATGATATGTTATATGTTGCTGAGATGTTGAAATCTCAGGATAAGACAAGATTAGTGGGTCCTAATTGTCCCGGTATTATTAATCCCGGAAGCAAGGTAAGAATTGGTATTCAACCACCCAAGATTTTTAAACCCGGTAAAATTGGTATTATCTCGAAATCGGGAACTTTGACCTATGAGGCGGTTCAACAGACTACTTTGGCTGGATTGGGTCAAACGTTGGTTATCGGTATCGGAGGTGATGCTTTCCCCGGTACTGATTTTATTGATTCTTTGAAATTATTCATGGATGATCCTGCCACCGAAGGTATTATCATGCTAGGTGAAATTGGTGGTCAGGCTGAAATTGAAGCAGCTCAGTTTTTGAAAGAATACAATTTCTCTAAACCAAACCCATTACCTGTTGCGTCTTTCATTGCCGGTAACGTTGCTGGTCAAATGAAAGGTGTTAGAATGGGTCATTCTGGTGCTATTGTGGAAGGTTCCGGTACAGATGCTGACTCTAAGAAGAAAGCTTTGAGAGAAGCTGGTGTGGTCGTTGTCGAATCCCCTGGTCATCTGGGTAAGGCACTTCTAGATGAATTCGCAAGATTGAAATAATTGTAATTATGCTCAATGCAGCTGCGCTTCATATTCCGACATTCCATACGTTGTGATTCGCTCAGGCTGTCTTTGAAGTTTTGCATAGCAATAACTAGATAGATAGTAGAATCGATTCATCTCAACTTGTACATAAGCAAATACATCTGAAATGTCAAGCAGGCATACCATCCGAATGAACCTTGGCTGCTTATTTGTCGAATGGATGATCATACTACAGTGAATATCGTGTCAAGTCCAAGAATGATTTGTTCCAGAGTCATACCTTCTTATGAATACCAGCTGCGGATTCCTTCAGGTAATCATATGCTACTCTCAGAAGACATCGAACGTATCCGATACTGCAAGTCAAATACCTCGAACTACTATGATCCAGTTGAATGAATCGCTGACAAGTTAAAGAAGCTCAATAGTGACTTCGAAGAAGAATTCGCCATTATGATGGATCTCATAGTGCTACAATTCTACTATGACTTCCACGGATTGTATAGTGAGCGCTTCACGATTCATTAGGCAACATAATACCCATCTTTCGATAGTGATTTGGCAACGGGATGCTAAGCGTATATTGTATGACTACGAAACCGCCAAATAAGCCATCCGGCTTCAATACTCTGGTGGAACGATTCTTATCAAGAAGCCTAACGCATTGCCGTAACATATACAGCGGCGACCTGATGCTAAGATTGAGTTATGATTAGAATACGATTCAAGACTCGGTCGACGGCTCGCTCCCTGACTATGGCATGCACTCTTCAGCAGTTCATCTAGCGACTCTACTGGCACGATAATAGATTAAAAGTCATGATGTGAATTTATGATTAACTGCGATGAGCAGTTATAATACTACACTTCCCACTAGTCTCTGACAGTACGCCGTGGATTTCCGGAGAGAATGATTGCCGTACCGATGTGAGTGATCAATATATTATATCTCAAGCCGCTGATAGCGAGCTACTAGAATTCAAACAGATCAAAGAGCTGCAGAGCTATCAGAAGGTTACTCAAGTATGAAAGAGAGAAGATGCCATTCGGAAACTAACTATCAAGATCACAGATTGAGCTTTTCACTCTGTTGTATCTGGAACTGATACAAACTTTAGTGGAGCTAATGAAGCTCAAATGAGTGGTGTGAACAAGACCAGTCCAGATCTCCATCTGGTGGCTACGTTAGGCGATAACGAAAGAACCATGGTACGATATCTATGATCTAGCTTCCAGCTTTAACCCTAGTGGTCTGATTAATCTAAAACGATTATGCTACACGTAATCGGCTAATGTTAATTGAAGGTTGTTAATGGAACTCAATAGAGAAACCCAATGTTGAGATTGAAACGTAAGTAATAATACAACGGTTCCTGATCTTAGTGAGAGATTTTTGCAATATGTGCTTGAATTACCTTGAACACACCCAACAAACTTGAGCGCAAGTAGTTCAGTGGTTAGAATCCATGCTTCCCAAGCATGGGGCCCGGGTTCGATTCCCGGCTTGCGCATTTATTTTTTACCCCAGAAAATACGTTACCTGTCAAGTACGCAACTTTAGATCGAATTGGATTGGCTTTAAATGCGTAGTTATCTTATATACTCCGCTAGTCTATCAATATAAATTTCAACGTTCATAACAATCCCATCTTTCACGTTGATATAACACTTGTCGATACCGGCAAATCTGTTACTACTACTCAGTTTACCGCTGGCCACACTGGTTTCCCAAAGTCCGACATCCCATTTCAATCCCGCGGTCTCAAGAATCTCAGTGGGCCCATTCAATGGCAATAGACCACAGTTCCCGATACACTTTTCTCTAAAATCCGTTGAATACTCGAGTAAGACACCACCAGAAGGAACAAAAAAAATCAGATCCGTGGCACTCAAATAGCTCAGTCTGAATTGACTCCCAGAGGATGACAACTTATAAAGCTGTGTGATAGAATGCATAGTTTGATCAAATCGACCGTCAATCGCACCTACAGCCAAAAGACTAATTTTCTCCGATTCTCGTTGATTATTTGCACTGAAAATTCGATTGAACCAATCGTGTATCCCAGAATTTATCTCAATTGAATGGTTTTCCTGCCTGGACTGCGATATTTGCGTTGTAAACCCTGAATCATTAAAATGAATCGAAATTAAATGTAGCGCCTTGGTGAAATCCGTGGAAAATTGGCTTCTCTGTTTGATCAATATAACCCCAGCATTCCTATAATATTGTTCCACTTCTGGTTTCAATGAATCAAAATCACCAATAATATAATCGGGCAAATAACAAGCTCTCGCTGCTTCATTACCATGGAAAAACTCATACAAACGATTTGCACCTCCATCAGCACATACTTTCAACTTGAATGCTGCCCATAGTTTCAGGAAAACTGATGGTATGTTGATCTTCTGGTTCAAGATCAGCAGAGCTGACCTACTCTTACTCGCGGGCTTGATAAAACCCTTCAAATCAAACCTGTGGGAATACTTTGATGGATCAATTGTGATGCTGATTCTCTCATCGTTCTCCTTACACCATTCTGACATCTTCAGATACGCTGGTCTTTATAGTTAAGTTGTAGTAGTTATAGTATGTATATTTTCTAAGCTATTAGACTATAGATAGTCTGAGAACAAGAAGTGTAGAACTTTGACCAAATATAGAGCATTGAAGTATCTTTGAGGACCAGGAATACGCTAGATTTAAAATGGATAAGCACAAGTATCGTGTAGAGATTCAACAGATGATGTTTGTCTTTGGAGAGACGAATGATCCACCGGTTGAGACGACATCGTTAATTGAAGATATTGTTAGAGGACAAGTTATGGAAATTCTAGTTCAGGCAACCAAGACTGCTCAAGCACGTAATAGCAAGACCATATTACCAGAAGATGTGATTTTTTTAATTCGACATGATAAGGCTAAGGTTAACCGTTTAAGAACGTATCTACTATGGAAGGATTTACGGAAAAATGCCAAGGATCAGGATGCAGTTGCTGCTGGATCTAGTTCTGGTGGACCTGGAGATGACGAGGAAAAGAAGGGTACCGCAGAGAAGGACGATAAAGACGGTGGGAGTACGATGAAAGTGAGGAAATCGCAGATCAAGCTACCGTGGGATCTTCAATTTATGTTTAATGAGCAACCGTTGGAGAATAATGACGATGATGAAGAGCTTGATGAAGATGAAAGGGAGGCGAATTTAGCGACTTTAAAGAAATTGAAGATGGCAGATGATCGTACAAAGAATATGACAAAAGAAGAATATGTACATTGGTCGGACTGTCGTCAGGCGAGTTTCACGTTCAGAAAGGCTAAGAGATTCAAGGATTGGTCAGGTATATCGCAACTTACCGATAGTAAGCCGCATGATGATGTTATCGATATACTTGGGTTCTTGACATTTGAAATTGTGTCTTCGCTGACAGAGACTGCTCTCAAGATCAAGAAACATGAGCAAAGATTGCAATTACAGAAGGATGAGTTGCAACAAAATGGCTCTGATCTCAATTTTGAAGTGACAAAATTGCATAGAAAGAGACTTTTCGATGGACCCGATAACGTTGTAAATCCGTTGAAAAGGAAGCATGTAGAAGAGGCATGGCGAACATTGCAAACTATCGATATGAAACATAGAGCTCTGACAAACTTTAGAGGTGGCAGGTTCAGTTCTCGACCGATCATTATGTAAGAGGTTGATCTAATATGCAGGTTTATGTAGTGCGGATATGGAATGAAAATATTAAGTGGTTTTACCGCCAACTGTCTATGACAGATTTCGGGTCAGCTTGAAACCATATTGGCTTGAGCAATCGTTCATGAGTCAAGCGCCATGCAATTTCATTATACTGTGCTTTCTCAACACCTTCGCATTGCTCCAGAAATAGCTTCCTGTTTTCCTGTTTTATTTGAAACTCTCTCTTCGCAATCTCGAGCACGTAGGGATTGATTTGCTCTTTTAGATTAGTAGCGTTATTGATTTCGAATTCAAAGGCTACAGATTCGTCGTGACCTTGGGGAGAGCAGGAACCGTTAAAGCCTTTGAGTATTTCCTGAATCTTACGAGAATTTCTAGTCTTTCGGAGCCTGACATCTGTCAAGCCTTTTTTTTCGATTCTTGTGCTCAAATAATTGATGGTTGCTTTCTTTACCTTGTCATAGCGAGCTCTTTGGAGTTTACTATATTTTGTGAACTTGGCGAGTTCATCATTGGGCAATTTCTCCATTAAGTATTGTCCTATGTTTAGCTCGAATGGTAACTGAGCTTGATTAACATTATCAACCAGATGAAGTCTGTAATCTACCATATAATCATTCTGCAGACGTTGCTGCTCGTCGGACATATTTCCCACTATTGCTTGGGTGTGAGGTGTCATTAAGGTATTGTCTGCATCTTGCAAGATTGAAGAATTCCAGTAAACTTTGCTCTGGAGCACATCAGCCCATGACAGAAGTTCCGCACAATTTAATGCTTCAGTTAAGTTCTGCTTTGGAGGTTCCGGTTGACGAGATACGTCTGGTACTTTGAGGTCGCCAGGTGGCGTACAGCAAAATTCGAGATCCATCAGACATTTTCGTATATCTTTCTTACTGCAGGTTACAAGTAGCTGCAGAATGCTTTGATCAATTTCGACATCAAGTTTTCGACAGTACCGTTCCAAAAACTTGGTAACAGTTTGATGAGAGACTCGTTTGCAATGAAATAGGGAATTCTCGCTCACAGCCAAGTCAACTAAATTGCTAGGCACAAAGTTGATGTCCCTGCAAAGCATAACAATAGGCCGCCGGGTCATCAAAAGTAGCTTTTCGATCGTTTGCCAAAAAAACTTGTCATGTTCCTTGAATAGCACGTCAACGTCATCTAGTAGAATGATTCCCTTAGATCCTTGACCCTTTACATAATGTGTGGTCGAAAATTCCAAAAGGCTTTCTAAGATGTCTTTTTTTGACCTATTGCTTGATGCATTTACCTCATAAATTTGACCTCGATGATGTTCCATGAGTACCTCCATCAGAACGTTCTTGCCTATGCCATCACCGAACAAGATCATAAGTGGCACAAAGTCTTCTCTCAAACTTGTGTCATCCATTTCATCATCCACAATGAAGGAATCTAGAGGATCATATTCGATGCGTTGACGCTTGAGCATTTTGTTTCTAGTAGTAGCTTTCTTCAGCTTTATAAATGCCTGCGCGATCCATTCACTGACGTTCTCTTTTAATGACGGTTCTAGCAGTACTTCCTTCACCGATTTAGGTTTCAGAAGTTCAGGCCATAGAGAGTTGTACGTTTTTCTGGTCTTGGCTATTTTAACCCGCTTGAACTTACTATTCAGGTCGTCCCTGGTCTTCAGAACTTTATATTCATCGAGACTGAAAGATATCGTCCGCGGTACCACAATTTCTCGAGCATTCAGACATATTTTCAGCTCCTTGCGATCAGCAATATCATCTGACGGTTCAATCAGTTGTCGGCTTGGAAATGGCGCTTGATTAACCGCCACAACTCGCTTACTCTTTTTACTCTCGCCTTCAATAAAGCTACTAGAGACAACAGATGAATTTAACTTGACTTGATTTTCCTTAGTTGGCTTAAAAGAATTGAAAAGATCTTTCAAAGCTGTTTTCTTGAAATGTGAAGGTGTAGTAACTCCACTAACACCAGCCAACAATTCCTTAGCTCCATCATTTTCAACTTTTCCCTCATTAAAGTCGTCATCAAGAGATATAATCTCAGCAGGTCCCTTCACTGGCTGTGGATCAGCCCTACGAACACGACTATTCATCAGAAAGCTCTGAACTGACTCACCAGTTTTTTCCTGTGACGCTAATTGACTTGTCGCTAAAGATGGAGAAGAGTTCAATCCCATCGAAGAGTCTATTGATTCAATCGTTTCATCTTCATCTCGTATCAATTGTCTTTTTTGATCCTCTATACACTCTATTGCTTCCTCATCGCTCATCTCGTCACCGTTCTTTCTTGTCCCACTGTACCCATTGAGCAATTCCGTTAATGTAGTAACTTTCTTCATCTCATTCAAACATAATCGACCAACTAAACCACGAACTAAGAGCCAATAGCACCAATAACTTACCAAACTAACGCGTATTTATACTAACCTTTGTGCTATATTCGCGTCTTTAATACGCGATGCCATACTATGATAATTCCTATACTTTACAAAATACTACTCTAAGACTTTCAGTACCTCTCCTTCAGTCTTGAAGCAACAGTACGTAAGTTACCGTAGACCTTCCCTGGTGGAGAACCCAGGATCAGACTCACGACGGCTTCTCGTGCCATTCTAATGTGCGTGAACCCACCCAGAATGTGAATCTTTGCGTCTGCAAGCACAATTCTGGTTCTTGTAGCGTTTTCAATAGCAAACTTGGTCTTACCGTCCTTACCAGCGATACGACCAATGGCTCTTGAAAGATGGTCTCCATTCAGGGTCTTTACATCTTTGATTTCAAAAGTTTCAATGTACAAATCATCCAATCTAAGCAATGCAA